GGCGGCACGTGGTGGCGCCGCTGGCAACCCCGCGTGTGGGCGCTCTTTGAAGACCCCTACTCGTCGCGGGCCGCCAGGGTGAGCCGCTCTCGGGGCCCTCAGCACCCCTTCCAGGCCCCCCCCCCCAGGCCCTCAAGAGTGCCAGTCCCAGCTCCTTCTAGATTCTCTGGGCTCCCAAACCAGACCTTCTGTCCTTCCAACACATCCCCCTCCTGCCTTCAGGTCCCCAAAAGACGTCTCCAACCTTTAGAGTCTCTGGTGCCTGTCCCAGGCCACCCTAGACCTTTAGAAAGTCCCTCTCGACCATGAATCTCAGTGGGCTCCTCTGAACAAACCCAATCTCCAGTTTCCCAGCCCCTCCAAACGTCTTGTCGCCTGCCTTGGCTACCCCACACCCTCACAGGACCTCTCCCAGGTTTCTTGGAGCACTCCACCCCTCCCCCACCCGAGCTCTCTTCACAGTCCTCCTACACTGTACTAGGTCCTGTGAACCTGCCTCCCGCCCTGTCCTCTTCACCTCCCTGTTCTCCCTGGCCCGGGATCCCAGAGGGCCTCTTCAAATTCAGTCTCCTAGTTATTCTCAACCCAGCCTCCAACCCCGTCAAAGTTTCCAAAAGCCTGACAGCAGGGCCTCCTGGACTCCTTCTCCTGACCCCTTGCTCCTCCATGCTGCAAGGCTGAGTCTTGGGGCACTTCCCCTGCTACCCCCTCTGTTTCTGTCCCTTCCTTCTTATCCTGTGCAATCTCTTGTCCTAAGGACTTTCCCCAGAAAGCTGTGTGCTTCCCCCAGTCTTTCACATGCCTCCTCCTGTCTCCAGAACACTCTGGAGCGCCCATGTTCTCTAGAGTTTCCTTTGTAGAGCCCGTGTGTCCTCCAGCAATTCTCTTCCTTGCCCCAGCTTCTCCCTTTCATCCTTTCAAACTGCACACCACACTCAGTCCCTGGGGTTTTGCCCTTCCCAAAGTGCCCTACTCCCTTTCCTGGTCTGTCAAGTGACTTCACTTCCTGCTCTAGAACTTTATCTCTTACCTCAAAACTTGGGAATCTTGCTCTGGTCTTCAGCCCAGAAACTCCTCCAAATAGCTCCCATTCTGTCTGCCTGCCTCAGGATCTTTTCACTTCCCCATTTTCCCTCGCTCAGCCCTGCTTTCTCGGTTTCTCATGCTCCCCTTCCCCAAGCCCAGGCCTGGGCCCCGCAGCCTCTTTCCCTCTGCCACAAAGAGCCCATATTCTAACCTTCTCTTTTCTCCAGCTGGCTGTATCTCCCTCATAGCCTATGAATCCTTCCCAAGCACTCTCCACTTGTAGAAAACTTCCTTAAGCGCTTGTGACGGCTAAGTGCCTGCCCTCCCCTTGGCTCTTCCCAAACCTCTTCTTCCCCAACTTCTTCCCAGTCTAGGAGACCCCAGAGGGAAAAAGTGTGGGAAGAGCGGGGAGTTGGGGAAATTGGAAAGAGGGGGAAAGCATAATGATCCTGGGACCCCTCTCCACTCTCCAGGAGGCCCAAACACCTGGAGGAACTCGTCCGGGCCCCATCCCCCCACAGTGCCGCGTCCTGGGCCGGGAAGGACGCGGAGCCGCAGTGCCGCATTTGCGCCGGGGGAGGGAGGAAGGGGGAGGGGGCCCCGGAGGCACCGCAGAAAGTTTGGTCCCTGGGAAGCGCTGAGTTGGCGAGATTTGGGGTTGAGTGGGGGGAAGTGGGGAGGAAGAGGCGCGGAAGGGACATGGCCTTAGATGCCCCGAGGCTTGCTAGCTGCCCCACCCCCACGCCCCGGGGCGCCTTTCTCCCTTGACCCCATTGAAGGGTGCTAAGGTGAGGGGGAGGGCGGGGGTGGAGTCCTTCGGTGAGGATCTGACTAGGGGTCCGGGACAGCTACGGAGGTCATTTATTGACTGCGCAGATGCTTTTCTGTGTGTCTGCGGTGTACCAAGCACTTTACAGACTCTAAGTAACATTGCTTGGGAGTTGGGAGCTCTGGCCAGTGCCAAGTGCAGGGTCTAGCCCTACTTTCTCCCTTGTCATCTTTCCTTTCCTCCTTACAGGGATTCCATGCCCACCTATCCTTTCTGCTTGTTAGTCTCCTTGGGACAAGGGGTTAAACCGGCCCACGCTGTCCAGCCCTGCAGCTGTGGACTGCGGCGGGTGCCCACTTCTTTCCTGTGCCTTGGGAGGGAAGGAGTTAACGGAGCTGGTCCCGCGGCTTCTGTCGGGAAGCGCAGCTCTGCGGCTGCGCGCCGCCTGATGGACTCCAGCCACGGAAGGGTTAACACTGTGCCGGAACACTGCGGCTGCGCACTGCGGCGGGAGCTGTCCGCGGTGCTGTCCGCCGCGTGCCCCGCCCCCCCGGCCCGGCCGGCCCGCCCCCACTGCGGTGCCGCAGCCTGCCTTGCGCCTGGCATGGAGGGGGGTGGGGAATATCGGGCATGCGCTCTGCGGAGGCCTTTTGCCTCTTAACCCACTGCGGAGAAACCAAGAGGGTGGCAGAGGTCCCTCACCGATCCCCCTGGTCCACCTCAAGTCCAGGGCTCTCTGTGCCCTGAGACTGCACTACCCATCTGATTAAAGCCCCCTTCACCTGTTTCTTTTCCTCTCCTAGGGACCCCCCCCCCAACAGAGCCCATTATGATCTCCAGGAGCTGACCCCTGGCCTTCTTCCCCTAGACCTTAACCTCCCTGTCCCCTCTTCAAGGCTCTGTCAAACTCCAATCTTGGGTTTGGAGTTGCAGGAGCTCTAGTCTTTCTCTGCCTTGCCAGGACCCAAGTTTCCTTAGCCCCTAATTCTCTGACTGTGTGCCTGCCCTCCTAACCGGAGTCAAGACCCCTTCTCTGAACCTCAAGCTCCTGTTCTCCCTTTCTCTGCTCTTTCCTTTCACATCCTTAACCCTTCCAGCCCATCTCTCTTCAGGACCTGGACCCCAACTTCCTCTGTCCTGTGTTCTCTGGGCAAAGTTTTCATCCAGGCTTTTCCTTTTCTGGGGCCTGAGCATGGGCGCTGAGACCCTCAACATCCTTGCCCCCACTAAGTGATGCCCTGTAGCCCAGTAACAGTTCAGACCTCCTTACTGTGTTCTGGGCACAGGGCCAAGCCCTTGGTACACACACTTCGTTTAATTCTTACAATCTCATGAAAAACTTAAGGTTCAGAAAGGCTTACGTCCTTGCCCCAAGTCTGATATGTCAAAAGCTGGATTTAAACTCATGCTTTCTTGTTCTTAACCACCTTGTGGTCTGCCCCGCATCCCACCCCATGTTTCCCTTCCCTGAACTCCAAGCTGAGCCCCAAAGCTTCTGAGGCATAAGGGGTGTGTGCCTATTCCATAGTTCAACCCTTGAGGCTGGCCAGGGAGCCTGAGGGACAGGAGGTTGGAGTAAGGTGGCCTAGAAGGCAGAATGGGACCAGAGCGAGGTTCCAGAGGAGACCCTGCTCTGCTGCCCCATCTGCTAGGGCCAGGTCCTGTCCTGCTGCTCTGTTCCTTTTGTTACTTTAGAGGGCAGCACAGGAAGCCAGATATGATGGAGCCACAGGGCTGGAATACCTCGATCCCCTCAGGGTTGAGCCTGGGAGGCTGGCAAGGGGACAGTGAAGTGTTCTGTGCCTCGGTCAGCTTTCTCTCTCTCCCATCCTGCCTGCAGTATGTGGCCTTCGCCTCACTCTTCTTCATCCTCATTTCCATCACCACCTTCTGCCTGGAGACCCACGAAGGCTTCATCCACATCAGCAACAAGACAGTGACGCAGGCCTCCCCCATCCCTGGGGCCCCGCCTGAGAATATCACCAACGTGGAGGTGGAGACAGAGCCTTTCCTGACCTACGTGGAGGGCGTGTGTGTGGTCTGGTTCACCTTTGAGTTCCTCATGCGAATCACCTTCTGCCCGGACAAGGTGGAGTTTCTCAAGAGCAGCCTCAACATCATCGACTGTGTCGCCATTTTGCCCTTCTACCTGGAGGTGGGCCTCTCGGGCCTCAGCTCCAAGGCCGCCAAGGACGTGCTGGGCTTTTTGCGTGTCGTCCGCTTTGTCCGAATCCTGCGCATCTTTAAGCTGACCCGTCACTTTGTGGGGCTGCGGGTGCTGGGCCACACACTCCGTGCCAGCACCAATGAGTTCCTGCTGCTTATCATCTTCCTGGCCCTGGGGGTGCTCATCTTTGCCACCATGATTTATTATGCTGAGCGCATTGGCGCTGACCCTGATGACATCCTGGGATCCAACCACACCTACTTCAAGAACATCCCCATTGGCTTCTGGTGGGCTGTGGTCACCATGACGACCCTGGGCTATGGAGACATGTACCCCAAGACCTGGTCTGGGATGCTAGTTGGGGCGTTGTGTGCCCTGGCGGGGGTGCTGACCATCGCCATGCCTGTTCCTGTCATTGTCAACAACTTTGGCATGTACTATTCGCTGGCCATGGCCAAACAGAAGTTGCCCAAGAAGAAAAACAAACACATCCCCCGGCCCCCCCAGCCTGGCTCGCCCAACTACTGCAAGCCTGACCCACCCCCACCTCCCCCACCCCATCCTCACCACGGCAGCGGTGGCATCAGCCCTCCACCACCCATCACTCCCCCCTCCATGGGGGTGACTGTGGCCGGGGCCTACCCGCCTGGGCCCCACACGCACCCCGGGCTGCTCAGGGGAGGTGCAGGGGGACTGGGGATCATGGGGCTGCCTCCTCTGCCGGCCCCTGGTGAGCCCTGCCCACTGGCTCAGGAGGAAGTGGTTGAAATCAACAGGGCAGGTGAGGCTGGGGCATGGGTTTGGGGCAGATGGAGGCCATGGGAGGTGCAGAGACGGGGTGGCTGGCCTCAATATGGGAGAGGAGGAAGATGACAGGCCAGAGAGGAGTCCTTCACAGCCAGAGGCATGATTTTTCTCCTCTCTTTGGGGAGAGAGAGACCTGAAGCCAAGTGATTCCAGGGGCCATTGAGGCTGAGCCACAGGCCATTTGGTGAGAGGAGCTCAGGGTCTCACAGGTATCCTGGAGGCCTTTAGTGTCGCATAATGTGTCTGGCAGGAAGTGCAGAGGGACAAGGGGGACAGAGGGAGGCTGAGGGGTAGGTGGGGGTTAGTGGGAGAAGCCAGGATGTTCTCTCAGTGAGACCAGAGAGGAGTCAGGCCAGAGCTGAGAGGGCACAAGATAGACAGGTGGTGCCCAGGGAGCTCTGGGGAGGGGTCTGGACAGAGGTCCAGACGGATGTCGCTGAGATGAGGACATGAGGTGAGGGGACAGCAGCAGAAGGTTGTGTGTTTATCCCTGGGGAGTCTGTGCCTCAGAAGAAGTAATTTGGGTGGCGGGGAGGCGGAAGAGGTGGGCCCCACCCCCAGACCTTAAGTAGGTCAAGAAAAGGAGCCGGGCCACCCGGCCCCCATCTTGTTCCCTCAGCCACTGGCCCAGTTTCACACCCATTAAAAATAGCTCAAGTCAGGGCCTAGGGGACCCCCACCTCCCCCTCCCTCACCTGTCACCTCCCAGCCCTGCCCCATGGTGCCCTTTCAGCACCCTGCACTCAACACATCCTCCCTTGCTGCCCCTGTTAGCCCCCAGCACCCACCCTGGCCAGGTTGCTCAGATGGCTTCCACCCAACTCAGCCCCCAGCCTCACCTTCTACATCCTGCCCTAACCCCAGGCCCCCACTATCTCACCTGCCCTTCACCACCCCCAGAAACCATCCCTGGCCACCAGCACACCTCACCCTCAGGACCCCCTGCCAGACCTCTCCGGGTGTCCACATGGACCCTGCCATGGAATCTTTCCTAGCTCCCAGCCTTTTCCAAATCACCTCACACTTTCCTCTGTGTCTCTGTCTGATCCCCTGGGGACACAGATCCCCGCCCCAATGGTGACCCTGCTGCTGCTGCACTGGCCCACGAGGACTGCCCTGCCATTGACCAGCCCGCCATGTCACCTGAGGACAAGAGTCCCATCACCCCTGGAAGTCGGGGCCGCTATAGCCGGGACCGCGCCTGCTTCCTCCTCACTGACTACGCCCCTTCCCCTGACGGCTCCATCCGAAAAGGTGAGGCACCCTCCATGGGACCCTCGGGACTCTCTCTCTCCCCCCTGCCCAGGGGAGGGAAGAGAGGGTGGGGGGGTGGAGGCAGCGGCTCCCCTTCCCCCTACCTGAACCCCAACTGCCTCCCTCCCAAATCTCCAGCCCCAGGCTTCCTCCCCACTGACCCTTCACCTGTCTTTATTCCATCTCCATCCCCCGTCCCCCTTGGCCTCCTCCCCACCCCAGCCACTGGTGCTCCCCCACTACTCCCCCAAGACTGGCGTAAGCCAGGCCCCCCAAGCTTCTTGCCCGACCTCAACGCCAACGCTGCGGCCTGGATATCCCCCTAGTGGACGAATCCCCTTCCCCCGGGGTAAGTAGCCCCCTCTGCTCCCTCCTGACTCCCCCCTCCTTTTGACTAACCCCTCCCACCACATGCAGCCCCCACTGACCGAGACTCCCCTCCCTTACTTCACCGTGAACAGCTGCACCCCCTCCTGACACTGACCCCCCAATGTCCGCGGACTCACCTTGTCCCCATCAACCTCTCGGAACTAACCCCACCCTCCCACCACACTTGGTCCTCACGACTGGCCCCCATCACCATCTCTCCCTGCCCCTCCCCTGGATTTGCATTCAGTTAGGAAAGTGGGGTGTGCACTGACACTTCCGTGTGCAGGATGCAGCCAGGAGGCAGGCGCTGCTGAGACTCAGCCAGCAGCTGGGCACGGGGCTCCCTCTGGGCAAAGCCCAGCCCCCTGAGCGCCAGGGAGGCAGACAAGTCTAGACTCACCTGTGCTTGGATGGAGGCAGAAGAATACACAAGCCCCCGGGGGGTGTCAGGGGCAACTTCAGGTGTCCAGGATAGAGAATAAAAGCCACCTGCCCGTGACTAGAGCGACCTGAGTCTGAGAGTTGGTTGGCAAGGAGCCGGGGTGGCAGCCAGGGGAGGTCAGGCTGAGGTGAGGGTCCTAGAGAGACCAGAGGCCAAAGCTGCAGCCAGCTGTGCTAGAGAGGGGCAGGAAGGTTCTGAGGCCAAGAGGTGAGGGGGTGGGGTGAAGAGGGCCTTAGCAATACACAACCCCCCAAATGCTAGGAAGTCAGTGCTGTGATCCTGTCCCCTCCCTGTGCCGCAGGGCCTTGCACCTATACTCTGTCACCACTGAGCTACAACCCCATCTTGTACATTTGTTTGTTTTATCTTTTGAGACAGGCTATCACTCTAGTTCAGGCTGCCCTCAAACTCATAGCAGTCTTTCTGTGTCAGCCTCCCGAGTTCTGGAATTACAGGCATGTACCACCATGTCCAACTTTTAAAATTAAAATTGTTTTTTTGACACAAGATCTCACTTAAGTTGCCCAGGCTGAGGTTGGACTCAATCCTGCTTCAGCCTCCCCCCAACTAGGATTGCAGACTGTGCCGCCATTCCCCGTAGCAATGAGGACCCAGCTCCAGGCGGTGGAGACCTGTGGGCAGATGTTCAGCTTTACATCTAGAGCACAGGTTGGTAGTAGGCCTGGAAGCTTCCTTCCAGCCCAGTTTTTATAAATAAAACTTTATTGGGACACAGTCACGTTAAGCTACAACGGAGTGGAGTAATTGTAACTGGGGCCATATGGCTCCTATAGCCAAAAGGGTGTACTATTGCACTGTACAGGAAAAGCCTGCCAAGCTCTAATTGGAGGAAGCAGCAGGCAAAGTCCCGAGTCCAGAAGTAGTCTGTAGAAGGCACAGTGAGGGAAGAGGGGTACAGAGGGGGAGGGGAGCTGGAATTGATCTTAAAGGTGAGGGAAACATGGGCCACGCCCCAAAAGGAGACTGTGGAGGAGTCTCCTGGGAGGCCTGCTTAAGCCCCTGTGTTCCATACAGCCAGGGAGGGCTGGAGGGCCCTGAGGCCACAGCAGAAAGTGAGAACCCAGGCCTCCCAGCTCCTGTCCAGAGTCCGTTCCCCGCTTTCCACACCCCTCTTCCTCCATTGTCATCTCATTCTTCCTTCCCTCCCTCCTCCCGCCTCTGCCCTCCCCCTGCTCGGTCCCCTCCCTGTGGCCCTTGCTTCCTGTCCCCAGGTCTGAGGGAATGGGGGTTGGGTGGAAAAGGTGGGAGTGGGAGTAAGGGCTGGGGCTCAGGTGGGGAGAGAGGTGGGGTCCCTGCTTCTCTTGCCTACAATGCCAAAATCCATTCATTGAACTCAAATATTGGCTGGAGCTGATGGGGTGACTGAGTTCTCTGCCTGTGTCCAGGACCCTGACCTTCCCCGCCCTCCCCTTACCCCACTCCTTTCCAGACACCTCACCCACACCTGCTGCTCCTCCCCTCCTGTCCCCCATCCCTGTCCCCATTCCCCCCGGCCACCCCGGAAGCTCCCTCCATATTTGATGTCTCTGGCCTCCCCATTTCACTGCTCCCCTCCCCCGGAAAACACCAGCGAGGAGGAAGAGATTCCGGCGTTCTCCGTCCCCCCAACAGTGAGGCTGTGTTGGGGGTTCCCCTACCATCCTCCTCCCTGCCTTGACTCTCTTGTATTTCTGTCCCCAGCTCTTGTCACCGCCTGAGACCTCGCGAGACCCTCGGGTCCCCCCTGCCCCTTTCCCCCAGGTTAGCAATTGGGAATGGTGGGGAGGGGGTGTCCCCCAGATAGCAGGCTTCAGTCCCCAAGGCCCTCTATCCTCCAGTCAGGACCCCCACCTCCAGACAGCCCATCGGCTCTGCCTGGTCGCAGACCTCCAGCTGTACCCCTAGGGCCTTCCCTTCCCGCAGGTGCCCATCTGCGGTCCCACACCTCCCGTCACTACCCGGACGTTTCCCCGGATGCTCCTGGACCCTGGACCCCTAGCCTCAGCCTGAGCCTCGCCCCTCCCTCTGCCCTTGGAGTCCGCCTCCGACTCCCCAAGGGCGCCGCCCCCTGCTTTGGCTCCATCTAGCCCTCCCCTCCTGTCCCTCGGACAGGTGGCCCCCAGCCCTGCTGCTGCCGCCTCAGCTGGCCCCCCAGGCCTCTCCTCCGGCTGCTCCCTACTTGCATTCAACCCAGCCCCTCCTCACGACCCTGCCGCCCACCATCCCGCCTTGCTGCCCCCCACCTTTGGCCTCAGACCAGGGGACCACGAGGGTGGGTTGGAGAGGGGAGGGGGGAGGGGCGGAGGCTCGGTGGGCGCCGCCCGCCTCCTAATCCGGAGTCTCTCCCCCCCCTGTGTCTGCACCTTCCTCGTGGACGCTGACTGACTCTGCGATTTGTTCACTTCTCTCTCTCCATCTCCTCGGTCCGCTCCACCCATCTCTGCCCCTTGCCTGTCTTTTTGTGTCTCCCTCCCTGTCTGTCCCTGTCTCTGTCTCTAACTGTCCCCCACTGCCTTCGTCTCTGGGTGTCTCTCGCCCTCTCCATCTCTCCTCCCTGTCTTGGGGTCCCTCCGCGGGACCCTCTCCGCACCCCATCTCCATGCTTTTTCCCCATGTTTCTGCCCCTCCCCAGGTTACGAGAAATCCCGCAGCCTGAGCAGCATCGCGGGCCTGAGCGGGGTGTCCCTGCGCCTCGCGCCCCTTGCCACTCCCCCTGGCTCTCCTCGGGCCACCCGCCGCGCCCCTCCAACCCTGCCCTCCATCCTCTAGCGCTCCCCTCCCCCCTGTGGGGGGACTCGGGGGTGACCCGGAAGGTGAAAGGAGCTAGGGGTGGGGTGGAGGGGAGAAAGGTATTTTTTTTAAAAAATCAAAAAGTCATTAATATGCAACCGAGATGATGAAGCCAGCAGACACCCCCGGGCCCCTCGCCCCCTCACCTGGGCCCCCAGGATGGAAGGGGAGGGGCCAGATCCCATCCCCCAACTCACTTCCCCACAAAAAGCCTTCTCAGGTCTCCATGAGCCATAGGACACCCTCCCCCATCGAGTCGTGTAAATAAGTCCAAACGACACCAAATCCATCTTGGGGCACCTATCCCCCCCCACTATGCATGCTCAGCCGGACCCCTGCTCCCCAGCCACCTCAGCAATAAGCCGCCAGGGGCTGCATGCCGCAAGTTGGAGGGGAGGGGGCCCCCAGAAGCTCTAGGGGTTGGGCAGGTCTTCGAGCCACACGGGGTCCTCTGGCTTCTGGCCCTTCCCTCCAGGGAAACTACCCCCCCCACACACACACACTTTTGAAAAGGAGACCAGCTAGGGACTAGAAGCTGGGGTGTCCACGCTTGGCTGAGGCACATGGTGGGTTGCCCAGCGGGGGCCCCCAGCCTTCCGGAAGATCCCGTTGGTGATCCTCCTCCCTCCAGGGAGCTGCTCGCCTCTGTGCCAGGTGCATGGACTCAGACCTCCCAACCCCAGAGTTACTGGGAAGATCTGGCCACCACAAAATCCCGGCCCGCCCCGCCCCGACCCCCCCAGGACATGAGACCCGCATCTGGAATTCCTGAGAGGGCCCTGGCACCCCGCACCCCCAAATCTCCACACACTTCCAGGATGTAGCCTCTGCAAACAGAGCCTTGCCTGCCCCTCCCCCTCTCCCTGGACTGCATCCCAGCACTTCAGAGCTCCAAGCTTCAGCTCAGCCCAGCCTTTGGGATGCTCCAGGTCGTTCCCACAATTTCAAAATCTGGACAGCCCCAGATCCTCAGGCCTGCCTCCCAAACACTCCCAAGTTTCCCAAAGATCACCAGACTCATTCATCCCAGATCCCCTGATGCTAGAACTTCCAAGGCAGGCTCTGCCTGTCTGCAATTCCAGGGAGCCAGACCCCGGCACTCCTTCCTTCCTCTCTAGCCCTGGCCACAAATCCCTTCCCTGAGATGGTGCCCAAAGGTACTTTCTTTGTGGCCACCAGTTTCCTGGAGTATCGCACTGGTGCCCTTGCTGGTGGGACAAGGTTGTAGGCCGTCCAAGGACGAGCACCTGTTTGAAAAGTCTCCTCTTGGACGCGCACATGTTGCGCATCTAACTGGTGAGTCCGGGAGCGCTCCTGGTCGAGGCGTCCTCATTAAGGTTCCATTTGAGGCAGTCCCAAAATGGTCGCAGAGGCTGCGGCCGGCTGGAAAGTCGGCTTGGGAAACCCGGGACAGGGGCTGGCGCTCCTCAGGGGCCGCCACCCTCTCCTGTGGAAAGCCGTCCCTCATACCCCACCCAGGCTCAAGGATGCGCTACCTCCCCCTGGCCCAGAGACCTCGCTGGTCCCAGAATCCTTCGCGGACCCCCCTTTTGGAGCTGGGGGCCCGTGGAATCAGCACCCTCCCTCCCTCTGCTCCCACGGCCTCAGGGACACCCTCACGCCCACCCAAGGGTAGGTGAGGGGCGTCACTGAGCACGATTCTCGATGCAACGATTCCTATGCAAGGGGCATTTTGAGTCCCCCCAGCCTCCTCTCGGCCCCTAAGCCCTGGTGAATCCGGGTGAGGGGTGGGGAGGGTAATGGCGGGGCAGGGTAAAGGGCTAGGGGCTCCAGACACCAGGGTATGGGGTGGGGACTGATTATATTGCCAAAGGGTTCAACTTCTTTAAACAGGCCTCAGTTTGCCCTGACCCTCACAAGAGGCAGAACAGGGCGGGGAAAGGGGTGAGAGTCTTTCCCCAAGGGTACTGACCTCTTCCCAATGGCTCTCCCTGCTCGCCAATCCGCCACACGTACCCAGCTTTTTAGTTCAGCTTTAAAAAAGAAAAATAACCACCATCATAAACATCTACAAAACGCGACTTTCGTCCTGTCCCTCCCATCCCCCCAGTCACAGTGTGGGATTCGGGGAGGGAGAGCGAGCTGATGGGACTGCCTCCGAGTCTCGCTCCTTTTCTCCTCGGCCGCCAGGGTGCCTGCAACTACACGCATGCGCTGCATGACGCGCGCCCCCCACTCGCATGTCGCGCCCCTCCTGCGCTCCGGGAACGCACGGACACGGGGCATGGGGCAGGGCGATCGGGGAGGAAGGAATGACGGGGGGGTCGAGCTCAGCGGCTCCCCCTCCCCAACATACACACAGCAATAAGTTTCTCTCACTCGAAAGTGGGCGGGGCGGGCCTGGCCTGTGGGGGGGAGGGGCAAAGGGGCGCTCTCAGGGATGGGGGCGGGGTCCGGAGGCTGTGGGAGGGGAGGTCTACAAATCGTCCAACTCTGGTGCTAACGGCGGGTCTTCTCAAGTCCACCCGCAGGGCCGGGAGGGAGGGGTCGGCAGGCCCCTCCCCCTAAGCCTCCCCCACGCCCACCCAGGGTGCATGAACCGCCCAATGCAGAAGCTGCCGCATGTCACCCCCCCCAAAGAAAAAGTGTCAGGCCCCCTTTCCCACCCACCCTCTCACTCCCCATCAAAATAAAAATTTCCTTTTCATTTAAAAGTGCTTTGTGTTTGTGGACTGAGAAGGGAGTACGGGTGCACGCAGAGGGGCTGGGCGCCCAGAAAAAGGGTGGTGTTAAAGTGGTGAGCCTTATGCCCTGGCACAAGCCAATGATCCCAGCACTCTGGGAGGCTGAAGCAGGAGGGTCACAAGTTCATCCCTAGCTTTGGCAACTTAGGGTCTTAAAATCCTGGCTCAAAATAGAAAAGAAGGGCTGGGATTGTAGCTCAGTGAGAAGAACCTGGTTCAATCCCCAGTACCAGTAAGGAGCCTGGGGAGAGGCAAGGTGTAGATTGTGAGTCCTTGACACCCTGTCTGGGGCAAGTGCCTCTCAATTCCCTCCATGACAAACACCAGGTCCCTCAGCCTTCACTGGGGGATGCGGGCCCCACAGACATAAGGCTGATCCTGCTGCGGTGGGAGTGGGTAGTCCTGAGTCCCTAGCGGAGGGCGGGCAGCCCGTCCACTGTACCACGGCCCCTGAAGCCTCCCTCCCTGGATTTCAGTCCTGGTTCAACTTCTTGCCAAGTGTGTTTTCTTGGACAAGTGGCTTGGCCGCTCTGAGCCTGTTTCTGCTACCCCAAAAGGTTGGTGGGGGTTGTTTCACCCCAACTTTTCACTGAACGCCCGAGTGCCGGCACTGTTGAAGGTCTCTCAGAGCGGTGACATCCTGCCTCCAAGGTGCTGAGGGCAGAGACCAATGCCAGCCCTTAGCAAACCCCGGCGCCGGCGCTGGGATTTCCGCCAAGGCCTGAAGAGTTGGTTTGCCTGCTGCCACCTCCCGACACTTGCTGTTTAGCTTAGGGTGAGGGTCGACGCTACAGGCCACAGTTTCCCCATCTAGACAATGGAGGGAACACCTGGGGGGCCACAGGAGACCCGCACTAAGCTGGACTCATAGCCAGGACCACCCCCCATCAGTGCCCACCCTCAGGAACACACGCAGCTGAAGCCAGGTCCACTCGGGTTGGAGTTTATTTCTCCGGCGCCTGGTGGATGCGCCGCTGGGAAGCCGCCCCCGGCGCCCCTCTGGGCCACCCCGCTTTCGAGCGATGGGGCCCCCATCTTCGCCTCCCAGTGCTGGGCCCTGCAATGGCCAGGAGGTCTCAGGGAGCTCTATGTGGGGTCGCTGGTAGCCGAAAATGCCAAAGGGCAGCGTCATTTCCAAAGTGCAAGAAGCCACAGGGCGGGTGTGCTGGGCTGAGGCAGCGGCTGGAGCGGGCCCTCCCCTCAGGCAGGTCACTGGGGCTGGGCTGGCGGGGGACCCTCGGGCTCCGGAGCCGATGCGGGCTCCTTGTCCTCCGCCTCCTCCTCGTCGGAAGCCACGCCCTCCTCCAGGCGGAACACCTGGCGCACTGTGCGCGTGGTGAAGGTGAGCGGGCCGCGGCTGCAGGGGGAGAAGTGACCGAGGGTCTGTAGCGCCATCACAGCCCTGGCGCAAGCCCCTTGTACCCAGGGAGCCCAGCTCCCGCGCTCTCTGCCCCCACCCAGGCCCAGCTTCCCCCACTAGGGCGTGGGGAGTCCGCTGTACCGGAGCCGGTTCCTCAGCGTGGTCACCTCACGGTTCATGGACTCGGCGGACTCGGTGACGTCCTCCAGCTCCCGCTGCAGCCTGCGGCGGCCGGCCTGCGCCCTGGACGCCTCCTCCTCCGCCTCCTCCAGCTGCCTCTTCAGCTGCTTCACCCGTAGGTTCGCTTTCTCCAGCTGGGCAGAGCAGGGGGGCCACCGAATGGTACCTTGTGGTGCTGTCCTCCCCTCCCCCACGACCTACCCCACCTGTCCCCCTCTCTGCTCATCCCCTGCTTTCTGGCTAGCCCTTATTCTCCCCGAAGACCTACTGGCCAGCCTCCACCATGCCCTCCAAGGGGCCCTCTGTGGACACCCACAGCTGAGGTCTAGCCCCTGCACTGCTGCGAAAGAGCCCCTCACCCTGGCCCTCAGGCCTTGATGTCTTCCTCTGAAACTGGGAGGAGCAGACCGACTTCACCAGTAACCCCCAGCCTCTGTCCTCTCTCTCTAGGGAGGGGACACACAGCATCTCACTGCCTTTCCTAACCGTCCTGGTTTGCTTTCCTGCTCAGAATTCACCTGGCTTACTGCATCCTGCAGGGCCTTTGCACCTGCTGCTCCTGTGGCCTCCTTTTTCATCCTTCAGGTGTTAATGCAAATGTCACCTCCTCAGAGGTCTCTCTGATGGTGCTGATCTAAGGAGTGTCCCCCTTCCTGTGTGTCTCTCTTTTGGTTTTTAGTTGCCTCATAGCCCTGGCTGCCACCTGTTGTCACCTCTGCTTGCATCCAGGCTTAGTGCTTCTTTCCCGATGTTGACAGCAAATAAAGCTTAGCTGAGCTTTTAAGGGTGCAGGGGCTTGGTTCAGCCAGGAAGACCTGGGATCTGATCCAGACTCTATCACTTACAAGCTCTGTGACTTTGGTGAACATTATATCCCCTCCTAAAATTTCAGAGGTTTTTTTTTGTTTGTTTGTTTTTTGTTGTTGTTGGTTTTTTTGTTTTGTTTTGTTTTGTTTTGCAGAACCAGGGATTGAACTCAGGCCCCTGCGCTTGCCAGGGAAGCACTTACTCCACTGAACCATCTCCACGGCCCTAAAGTTTAGTTTTTAATCTGTGAAGTGGGACTAGTGATATGCTAGCATCCATTAAAAGAAAGAAAAAAAGCAAAAGCTTGTGACACAGTAGTATAGCAGGGCATGGTGGTGCACAGCTGTAATCCCAGCACTCTGGGAGCCTGAGGCAGGAGGGCTGCGAGTCTGAGCCCAGCCTGGGCAACTCAGTATTTTACTAAGAACTCAAAAATAAAAACAAAAAGGTCTGGGAACAGAGCTCAGCGTGAAGGTCCAGGGTTCCAGCCCCAGTACTTAAATAATTACAGACTCTGAGGTCAAAAATCTGAATCCTGGCCCCACCTCCAATGAGCTTAATAATTTCCAGCAAGTCATTTTACATTTCTGTGCCTCAGTTTCTTCACCTAAGTGGTGACTAACTTTATCTACCTCGGCTAAGATTGAAATGTGCTACCTGTCACGTCTATAGCTCTGGGCTTGGGGTGCACAAAGCACTCTCTGTTGTCATTTTCATCCTGGGCTCACTTCTGAGGAAGTCCAACCCCACCCCACCCCAGTCGCCTCCCCCTCGCCGCCAGGCCTGGCAGGTCGGTCAGCTTGTCACTGCCTCTGCCCCTCTGCAGGTGCCCCAGCCCCGTGCTGGCCCAATGCTCCTGTGCCAGCGGTTCCCTGCCTCCAGAGACGCTGTGCGCTACTTTCGCTTCCCGCTGTCCCCCAAAGCCGTCCACCCACTCACCTGGTCCCGGAGCTGGTCGGCCACCCTCCGCTCCTCCTCCACCTGCAGCACCACCTCCTTCAGTCGCTTCTCAGCCCTGCGCACCAGCTTGCCCGAGAGGATGCGCTCCCTGTGGGGAGAGGAAGGGGCTGAGGAGGCTGGCCGAGGCTGACCGCATGGGCTCCTCGGGCAGCTATCATCCATTCTTGGACAGCCTCTTTCTTCTTCCCCACCCCCATCTGGCCCCCACAGCCTGCTCAGAGCCAGCCAGGGCACTGATGTCCTTGGCTTCCACTGTGACACTTGGTGTCCTAAAAATGTGTGCTGTGGTTCTGGGACCCGCACCAAGTACAGATCCGGCCTTCATCCTGCTTTCCTGGCTCACAGCTCCCAAAGCCATGGGAATCTCGGAAGCCATGGTCTTTCTGCAACATGACCAGATGGCTGATGTCCTGGCCAACTTCAGGATGGGGACAAGGTGCCAGGGGAGCCCGCCATGTGATGAGAGGATGAGACCCTTGGTGCCCACCTCGCAGGGAGGAGAGAGGAGCTGCAAGTGGAGCAGATCACCAACGGCCAATGACAACCCAGCATGCCTAGTAATAAAGCCTTACGGGAGCCCTTTGGTTTTGTTTTTTGAGACAGGGTCTGGCTATGTACTTTGGGTCTTAAACTATGCAGCATTGGCTGACCTTGAATTTGAGGTGATACTCCTGCCTCAGCCTCCTAAATGCTGGGATTACAGGTGTTCACCACCATGCCTAGCTGTGGAAGCCTTAAGGGTGGGGCTTGGGGAGCTTTTGAGGTGCTGCTTATGTGGAAGGTAGACGCTGTGCCCCTTCCCACAAACCTTGCCCGATATGTCTCTTCTCTGTGGCTGTCCCAGAGCTGAGATCTTATAATAAAGAAGTAATGATTAAGTAATGTGTAGCCCTGTATTCTGGGCACCGTTGCAGAAATGGCAGGGCCCGACTGAGGCTGTGAGGCACACTGGTGGGAGTGAGCTGAAGGCTGCTTAGCCCCTGAGGTGGGCTGGTCAGGAGGACTGAGCCCTCGAGCGGTGGGTCTGTGCTGACTTAGGTCAGAGTCAGAACTGAATGGTAGAATGTGGGGTTGATGTCATGGGAGAACTGGAGACCACAGCTGGGCATAGTGGTGCACTCCTGTAATCCTGGCTACTCAGCAGGTTGAGGCGGGAGAGTCACATGTTCAAAGCCAGCATGGGCAATGCAGCGAACTCCTCGCTGAAAGCCAGAGAACTAAACCAAGCGTAGGGGAGCACACCTGTAATTCCAGCACTCAGGTGGCTGAGGCAGGAGGATCACAAAAGTAAGCACAGCCTGTATTAGTAGATTGATGGATATTAGACTTAGCAATAAATATTTTGTTAGTTTTATTAGCACAGCAGCTTCTATATGGAAATGTTATGGGAATATTCTGGTTATTCCAACACCTGGAGGTGGAGGCACCTTCTACAGCCCTGCATTCCTGCTGCTTCTAGGATGTGAATGTGGATATGGATGGATGTGGTGCGTGGTGTAACTGCAGCCATTTTGTGACCATAGGAAAAGACGAAGGAAAACACACAGATGTGAACCATCTTCTGGCTGCTTAGCTCCAGCTCTTATTATATGAGAAAAAATCATTTTTGTGATAGACAGATGGAGAAATATGGTGCCAGTTCTTACCCCTTATGGTATCTGTGTTTGCAGTATAACCCATGAAGGCTGGTGCCTTTTTCCCCCAGCCCCCTAAATTTGAGGAGGCTACAAGACTTGCTACGGCAGAAGCGACACAACACCAACATTCCAAGTCTTAATTCTTTTTTTTTCCCCGCTTGGCAGAACTGGGGATTGAACTCAGGCCTTTGCGCTTGCCAGGGAAGCGCTTATTCTACTGAGCCATCTCCCCAGCTAAGTCTTAAGTCTTAAAAGCCCGTGAGCTCTTTACCTCCTCCTTTGGGCCGTGGCTCTGTCTTGAGGCTCATCCTGGGTTAGGACAAGGAGCTGCCTGTTTGTCTCTAGAAGGGCCTTATGCTTACTTAGGCTCAGTCAAGATCAGCAAATCCATTGAGCTAATCCTCAAATGAGGAAAGATGCGGGAGTGAGACCCACCCAGCCTTGGCCAAGAGCACTCACTCGCCAGGCCAGACACTCAAGAGCAAAAACAAACATTCATTGTTTGAAGTCTCTAAGTTCTAGAGTGGTTTGTTACACAGCTGTAGCTGACTGCTACATTACCGTGCAAATTACACTCAGGGCACTTGCAGCCCAAATCATCTTTTTCCACCAACCTGCTCTCTTGCTCCAGCTGCTCTTCAGCCTGGGCTAGCTTAGATTCAAGGGTAGCGATCGTCATCTTCTGCCGGGCCCGAGCCCCAGCGTCCTCCTCACCCAGGTGCCCCCGGAGCTCCTGGATCTGCCGCTCCAGCTGCTGCCGCCCACTTTCAGCCTTGGCTGAAAAACTGCGCTCTGCAGACAGCTCCGTGGACAGAGTCTCCACCTGTGGCAGATGAGGGGTGGGGTTGGAAGGAGGGAGACAGCCGATCCAGGCACCTCCTAGAACTAGTGAGCCCACGACGCAGTGCCCACAACCTGCCACACGCTAGCTACCAGCAAACGCTAAACTGTCCTTTCAGTCTACAGTGTATCACCCAACAGCACCGCCAGCCCGGCATTGTAACCTGTTGGATCATGTCTATTTTTAAAACTCCACAAGACTATCGCAGGATAAAAAATAAATTTAAAAAAAAAGACTATCACAGGGCCAGGAATACAGCTCAGTGCTACAAGTGCCTGCCCTGCAATCCCAAAGTCCTGAATTCAATCCCCCCCCAAAAAAAAAGATGATTACAGACTCATTGAACTGCTATAAATTCTACCTCTATGAGTCAGTTCCCAGGGTCATCACACTCAGGTTTGCCAAAGGCTCACCTGGGAAGCTTGTGAGAAAAATGAAGGCTCCAGGGTCCCCCTCCTCCCCAGATTGTGACTCAACAGCTGGAAGCGGGCCAAGAACCTGCATTTACATAACAAGCATCCCTTCAGGTCTCTCAGGAGAGCCGCAGGGTCACTCTGAGCATCCCCCATGCGGGGGCAGCTTCAGGCAGAGGTGTGAATGTGCCCTCCCGGGGGTGACTCAGCTCAAGCTCTGAGCTCGGCCAGCCACACTAGGGACCAGAAGGGAGTCAGTCTGACTCACTCCGACCTTGCCTCACCCTCACCCGCACATATGGATGGGTGAGGACCTTCCCCTTGTATTTTCTCAACTTTCTACTGCAAAATAAAACGGTGAGGCAGTGACACAGAAAGTCAAAGCCCAGCAGCCCCCGGGAGATGCGCCCTTACCATTCCAGGGAAGGCCCTAGGGCATCAAGGCCACCCCAACGGCAGCCCCTTCCTGCCCCTCGGAGTAGCACTCTGCCGCACGTGCATCTCCTTACAGTTTTATTTTTATTTATTATTTATTTTATTTATTTATTTTTTGGCTGGCTCAGCCCATCCTGAGGGCAGGGTTGGCGCGGCATGCGGTGCTGGGAATTGAACAGCAGTACCCTGAGCCTGCCTAAGTTTGCCTAAGCAGGCCTTTATTTTTTATTTATTTATATTTTAGAGACAGGTCTACAGGGTGTTCAGGGTCTCATTACTAGATCAGACTCAGTAGTGATCCGCCTGTTTATGGCCTCCCAAGAGCACTAGAGAATTAAGGTGGAGCCACCCTAATAATAGCCCCTTCCGGGGCTGGTGAGATGGCTCAGTGGTCTAAAGCACCTACTTAGAACAAGCTTAGCAAAGCATCAGGGACCGCGGTTCAATCCCCCAGCACCACATGCCA